AAATCGCGCAACCAAAAATTAGCGCAATCACTGCCACCTTATTTTTAGCTTATTTTTGGAATATTTTCCATTTGGAGAAAAGAATATTTAAAGAAGTTTTTGATTGTCAACTTTATCACAGCCAAAAATGAAGCTGACAGTGATTCTTTTCATTCTGATTGTACTTCAGGTTCTTGTTTTTTTTTCTTTCGTATTGACTGTTTAAGACTTTGCAAGTTGATTTGAATTGTGCAGTTGTTCAGTGGAAACATTTTTACTGGGAAGATAATCAATCTTCTTTAAATCATTCGATAACGCTATTCTAAATGAAATTGACAAGTTTTACGTGTTTTTTTTCCCACATAAATTTAGATTCAATAGTGTTAGAATTTATCGTGATTTTTTTTAATGATTTTTCTTTAACTTTCAAACTCCCATAGATTGGTTTTATCGCACCTGCTTGCGTCAAGAAGAAAGCTGAACATAATAATGACGCTACGCCTTATGGTATGTTATAGTATTATTTTTTTTAAATGCAAAAATATGTACGGGCAATCTTGTATAACCGGTTCTTAAACGTTGACCCAATTTTTTTTTTTTGACTGATGGGGATTGAATAAAATATCTCTTTTTATTTCGGTTCCACCCATATTGGGAAAAGCTGTGGACAACTGTATCTGGTAGTGACAATAATTGATTCACTGAGAATAAAATGTTGTAAAACAACAACAGCTCTGTATGAAAAAACAAGACCGTTCTTGAGTTTTTAGTTATTTAATCTATTTTGTTGTTTCACAACAAACTATTTTTTGGCGCACTACATGAAATGTATTTCATCAAAGTAACTTTGAAGTAATATATTTATTTTCAAAATGAATGACAAGACCTTGGTTTTATTTCTTTTTTGAAATATACTGCCTTTGATTTAAATTAAATAAATAATATGAGCATAGAATCTAAAATCACTTTAATTCTGTTCAAGACTCAGAAAAATACTATACGAAAAATTAATGTAATTTTTAAAAAACATTTGATAATAAAAATTTGATTGGCGCTTTGAGATGTTGTGCACTTATTTGTCGTTAGTGCACCTGTTTTAAATTAAATAAAAAATATGAGCATAAAATTCAAATTCACCATAATTTGTTTCATCACTCAAAAAGTATCTAGAAAAAATAAGCAGATTAGTAGCTCTACATTCCATGTAGTGCTAAAAACGCTGTGTTTCATTTTGTTTGGCACTTTTTTAATACGCTTTTTTAATACAATAAAATATTGTAGTAATTATCAGTTTTTCATTATTTTTTTTTCTTCTTCCCCCTTTTTTAACAAAAATTCTCACTATTCCTGATTAATTTAAGGTTGAACATTTTGATTCAATTCTAAAATTCTTACAGAGTCTACAAAACTAAGCACTTTGCGCATTTACATGACATTTGTATGTGTTTGTTTGCCAAAATCATCGATTCCAAAATTTCCTTTGTTCTTTACATTATTCCTTTATTATATTTGAGATTAAACGTTTAAATACGATTCTTTGTTTACAATTTAATATTCTTACGAAAATTCAACAGGAAAATACCACCAAAAGATCTTTGACATTAAAAAAATTGGTAAAAGTTAGTATCGATGTCACATTCGATAACAATTTTTAAGATTTTTTTTCACAATTTTGTTTTTTTGTTTTTTTCTTTTTAATCCATTTCTAGACGCATTCAAAAAAATAAATATATCGGGCGGAAAATGCAATAACGGTAAGTGTAGCAAAGTTCTTTATTGTTATTGATATTTGAAATTGCACATATACAACATTTATTTGCGCAAAAAAAAAAATACATACTCTACAGGCAATTCGACATATCCGCCTACAGGGAATTCGACAATACCTCATGGACATAAATGCACGCATGGGCCTAAAGGCAAT